AAGTGGTCGCTTCTCTGTTCAGAGAGTTGTTGCTGCTCTCTTCTTCGATCTCCTGTTGAGTTCGTAGGTGTTCAGAATGGTTTGATCCCTATCCAGCTGAATTCCTGAGACCAGACGAAATCCAGGTCTCCTACTCCTCCGCCATCTTGCTCCACCCCCTGGAGGTAGGTTTTTATTTTCTTCTTTATACCTTCGAAGGACCATTATTTACTTGTACTTTTTGTTCCCCTAGACTCCTGTTTCTGGGTGGAACATGTAGAAAATGCTCAATAAGTAGATACCGGTGGAAGTAGGAAATGAAGGTCTCTTCTTTCCTTGGCTTGATTGAGTAGCTCTGGTTTTGTAAGTTCCTTTAGTAGCTGGTGCGACTGTGCTGTTCATCTGGAAAGTTCCCCAGATGGGCTGCTCCTGTGCACTGCCAGATAGAGGCCTCTGGGAGTGGGAGGTTAGCTTGTCTTGTGGGACTCTATTTCCCTGGCTGACGAAGGCTTGGCCCTGGCAGCAGCACTGGGAACTGACTGGCTAGCTTGTTTTATTTCCTTCAGCCCGACAGAGCCAGGGGTAGGCTGGGGCCGGTCTGCTTGTGGTGACTCCATGTACCTGATACCGCTTGTCTAGTGCCCTAGTGCCTTTCAAGCTGCTCTGTGCACAAGGCTGGCCTGCCGGCGACAGCTGGGACAGGCCAGCCCAGATGCCCTTGCTGCCCGACTCAGAGCCGCTGTACCCGCCGCTTCTTGTTTTTGTTCTAAGCTTTATCTGTGATGTTGTTATTTTGTATTTTAGGTAACTTTTAATTTTGTTATAATTTCAAACATACAGAAGAGTTGTAAGAATGGTACAAAGAACTCTTGTGTACCTTTTATCCAAATTCACACCAGCCTTTTGCCTCATTTGCTTTTACTTGGTATGTCCTCCCTCTCTCTCTCTCTATTACGTATATGCACGCACACACACATTCTGAGCCATTTTACAGTAACTTGCAGACAGTGTGCTCCTTTACTTTTAAAAACTTCAGGATACAGTTCCTAAAACAAAGACATTCTCGTACATAATCACAGTACAATTTATAAAAATCAGGTTCAATATCATTATGATGCTATTACCTAATCCACCGTCCATATTCAAATTTTGTCCATGCTCAGATAATGGTCCCAGTAATGGCAGAGCTTTATTTTTTAAAGAAAACACTCTAAGGCACGTGGGTGACTCCTCCATTATATTGGCTCAGATGAGAGCAGCACCAGCAGGTGTTTGGGGGAAGTGGCGCCATGGGTGCCACATCACCAGCTCCTTGTGTCTCCTCAGGACCAGAAGAGTGAGCGCGCAGGCATCACACTCGGCAACGATGTCAGCGGAACTGGAGACTGCGGAGGGGGTGGATGAGTCGGAGAAAAAGAGCTCCGGGGCCGCAGAAAAAGAGAACCATACCAGGTGAGTGGTGGGGGCTGGCTGTGTTGAGTCCTGTGGGCTTAGGGCGCCGGGGTGTGGTCGGGGTCGTGTTGTGCTGCTGCAGCTGCCCCGGACACCTGATTGGGACTGCAGAGAGGAATAGCCCACAGCACCCTGGGCTGCTTGAGCATTCTCCCCCTTTGTTCCCAAGGAAGCAGGTCAGGCACTGCTAGGAGTGCTGAGGAATGGAATTTAATGGTATTTCTGATCCTTTTTTCTTCTTAAAACCCTAAGTGTTTTCTCTTCTGTGCTGAAAAAGGGTCATTAGGCAAAACTGGCACCTTGACCAGTGTTTTCCACTCCTTAGAATGTGGGAGTAGCTCTAACTCCAGGGATTTTTTTTACTGGGTAGGGACAGTTCATGCTAAGCCTCAAGTTACCAAAGCCTGTTCTTCATTGTTCTTATTCTCGTTGCAGCCCTGTCACTGACAAAGTGCTTTTTTATATCTTGAAATAATTGCTAATAATAAATGATTCTACTAAAGAAGCCAGCAGAGGGAGGGTGGGCTGTGAAGGACCAAGTTTTTGTCACTCTGGTGGATAGATTGTGTGGACCGTGTGAGCTGCTACCCGGTGTGTCCATCTTTAGGGTCATGCGTTGTTTGCCTTGTCGTGTACTGGCTGTGGCACCTATCAGCGCAACTGCATCCTGTGTCATTTTAAGTGATACAGACTTACATCCTGGCTCCAACTGCCTTGGCCCGTCTCATTCTGATCCTAACCTGGGCCCAGCCCCATGTAGTCCTGAAAAGGCTGTGGGTGGAAAGTGGGAGGAAGGGAGCAGGGCTGCCTTGGGACAGCCACTGTCAGTCCATCACAGCAGCACGGATTCCGCCAGACACGTTCCCCAAGGCTGGCTGCTCCCTGGAGAAGCCAGCAAACGCTGTGGTGGGATTAGAGGTATGTGTTTCCTCAGGCACTAGGTGGCCACAGAGGCAAAGCATTGTTATTTGGGTGGTTCATAGATACATGGACACTGTTAAGGAGTAGGCCACAGTTATCCCCCATGTCACCCAAGTCCTTGGGGCCAACTCACATCTGCCTGCTCTCTGGCAAGACCCTGTATTGATGCTGGAGTGGAGTTTCTGAGCAGCTTCTGCCTCCAGCTCAGTAGGGGGACACCCGAGAAAGGGCTAATTCACACATGCACACGCACTTGTGTGAGCACGCACGCGCGCACACACACACACACACACACACACACACACACACCCCTCCCCCGCATCTCCACAGGATGGCTGACCTCTCTGAGCTCCTGAAGGAAGGGACCAAGGAAGCACATGACCGGGCAGAAAACACCCAGTTTGTCAAGGACTTCTTGAAAGGCAACATCAGAAAGGAGCTGTTTAAGGTTGGTGCCCTTGGTTGTGGATAGGGTCAGGTTGGGGGCCTTAGTCCCATGAGGAAGATCCCCTTGGAACTACTCGGAGGCGGAAGCTGGGCCTTTCTCTACCCATTCTCCACTCTTTTGACATCAGATTGTGGTTTTCACGAAGCTTAAATAGAAGAGCATAGTGGTAGTGTGCAGGAAGCAGAGGTATCCATGTTCCTAAGAATTCACCATGTCAGTCCTTTAAGGAACATGAAAATTTCCTGTGTGTGTGAAATAATTCACTGTATAAAAATGGGTTTCTGGGGAATTGGGGTGATGGGGGCACACTGCTGGAGCCTTCACTTGTGGCTCCTCAGACGCGGGGGCAGGTGGGCTCAGGAGATGTGCTTGCTGGTCAAGGCTGACAGCCCTATCCCATGGTCTCCCTCATTGCCCTGAACAGCTGGCCACTACTGCACTTTACTTCACATATTCAGCCCTTGAGGAAGAAATGGAGCGCAACAAGGACCACCCAGCGTTTGCCCCCTTGTACTTCCCCACAGAGCTACACCGGAAGGAGGCACTGACCAAGGACATGGAGTATTTCTTTGGTGAGGACTGGGGGGAGAAGGTGCAGTGCTCTGAGGCTGCCCAAAAGTACGTGGAGCGGATCCACCATGTGGGGCAGAATGAGCCGGAGCTGCTGGTGGCCCATGCCTATACCCGCTACATGGGGGACCTCTCAGGGGGCCAGGTGCTGAAGAAGGTGGCCCAGCGGGCCCTGAAACTCCCCAGCACAGGAGAAGGGACCCAGTTCTATCTGTTTGAGAACGTGGACAATGCACAACAGTTCAAGCAGTTGTACCGGGCTAGGATGAATGCCTTGGACCTGAACCTGAAGACCAAAGAGAGGATTGTGGAGGAGGCCAATAGGGCCTTTGAGTACAACATGCAGGTATTGCTGGGGCTCATGGGGCGGGGGGGTGCTCTGATGGTGGGCGCCAATCCAGAGCTGCCTGAACAGGCATCAGTGCATTAGGTCAGATGAGCTGCAGCCTGCCGGAGAGAAAGTGGAAGGACCAAATAGGCCACAGAGGGCATGAGCCCAGCGATGGCTCCACTTTGTTTGACAGACAGCCTGTGTGTTTTTGCTTTGGGGAGGGTGAGGCCCTAGCACAGAGGGTTTTGGGAAAATGAAGCTGTCTCCCTCTCTCTGCCCATAGGATTCTGGCCTTGAGTGGATTTCCTCCTTTTTAGCGAGGGTTCTGAAAAGCCCCACTTCATAAGTTCATGGAGAGAACCAAGGAGAGTGAGAAACAGAACTCCGTTTACAAGTAGCCTTTAGATGGGGCCAAGCCTGGGGAGGCTGATTCCATCCCTGGAACCCAGGCCAGCCCTCAGCACCAGGAGAGTGGCCATGGCTGAGGGGAGTGAAGCACCGGCCCCAGTGTAGGCCCACTGGCTTAGTCTGACATTAGCAAGCCTCCAAGGGCCACTTAGGATGGGTCAGCCCTGGTGGGGCCTCAGTTTTCACATGTTCTTCTCTGTCTGAAAATGGCAAAGTGCCAGTGCTCACAGGGTGTTTTGGGGCAGCACTTTTGTTCTCTCCTCATTGTTTCTGCCCTGGTAGTTTCAGCTGTGGGCTGTGTTGTCTGGTCAGTGCCCAGGGAAGAGCCACCACAGTCAGCAGCGGTGGGATGCTGAGCACAGGTGTGGTCACACCTCTCAGAGCTTGGGCCAGAGAGAAGTGTTAGGTTGGTGTGGCTGTCCTTGCTGCTGATTGGGGCTGCTCACTTACTGGTTTGCCTTCCTGAGCAAGTCTCACCAGTTCTAGCTCCCTCTGCATGGGGGAAGAAAGAGATTTTTCTCCGAAAGCAGAGTGGACACAATCAAGTGATGGCTGTTCATCCCTACCCCTGCAGATATTCGATGAACTGGACCAGGCTGGCTCCTTGTTGGCCAAAGAGACCCTGGAGGACGGGCTCCCCGTGCACGATGGGAAAGGAGATGTGCGTAAATGCCCCTACTATGCTGCTAAATCAGACAGAGGTAGGTCTTGCCTGTCCTGAACTCTCCTCCCAGGGTGGGTTGTGTCCATGTTCCCCACTGATGCCATGTCCCCTGTTGGTGCTGCCACACAGGTGCCCTGGAGGGCAGCAGCTGCCCCTTCCGAACAGCCCTGGCTGTGCTGAGTAAGCCCAGCCTGCAGTTCGTTCTGGCCGCTGGTGTGGCCCTGGTTGCTGGCCTCCTGGCCTGGTACTACATGTGAAGGACCCATCATACCACGTTGGCGCCCTCCTCCTGAGTGACCACTGGCCTGCCCCCACCTCCACCGGTGACTAAACTACCACCTCAGGTGACTTTTCTTAAATGCTGGTTTTGAGAAAACAACCAATAAAGGCCAGACGCTAAAGCCTCTGCCTGTAGCGTCCTCTCTGTGGGCTAGACGCTGAGCTGGGTGTAGGCCCACCATTCCTGCAGCCATTAGGCCATGGTACTGGGAGCAGCCAGCGCAGCTCAGCAGGCCTGCCTGGGCCTCTGGAGCCAGTTCTGCTCCAGGGGCCTCCACACTGCTCACCCTGAGGCTCCTTCCCTTCATTCTTCCTTATGTTAGCATTTAGGTGGGTACCTTTCCCCTGATGGGAACAGAGCAGCCAGCAAGCCCACACTGCTGTAGCTCTGTGGGAGGGAGGGGTGGCTTGCACCCTGCCTCAAAGGCCTGGGTAGCTCCGTCCTGAACAGCCAATCTTCACCCTCTCAAGCAGAAACTCCAGAAGAGGGGGGTCTGTTTAGCTGTGGCCTATCTCCTCCTTTGACCTGTGTAAATGCTACAGCACTCAATAAAGTGGACTCTGACAGCTGCCTCCCTCTTTCCTGGCGCCAGCATTATCCTTCTCAGCCACTCCTGGTCTTCCTGTGCTCCCAACACCCCTGGTCACCTCACAGCCCTCTGCCCAGAGCAAAGCCACCGTGTCTCACAATCTGGTCTTGTGATTCTCTCGGAAGTGCCCGGGAGGTTTCCTACTTTTTGAAATAATTTGTTTATAAGTAAGGATAAAAAGTATATACTTGTATTATAACAATTCTTGTCTAAAATACAAATGTGAACTTAAATATTTTTATTGATAGGAATCAGTTTCTTGTTTTATATATTGAGGATCTGCAAAAGTTTTATTCAGGAAAGGGTTAAATGGCGGGGAAAACATTGTCCTCAACTACTGACCAAGCCTACCCATTTTTCACAGTTCAGATGAGGGCTAGTAGGGGTGGAGCTGGCTCAGTACCTGGGGGCTGACTAGCTGCCCCCCATTAGCCTTCAGACCAGAAGCCTCAGCCCCGGTGACTCTGTCTAGCTTAAGGGAGCAAGGGTATTTGCCTGCAGGGTGGGATGATCCTGAGCTAAAGCCAGGGGGCTCCAGCCTGCAGACGGTGTGGGCAGATGCCGTGGCATGGAGATAGGTGAAACCAGTGTCAGAGATAGGAAGGTGCCCTTTGAGCACAGTGAAGCCAACTCCTACCCCGACCCAGTCACAGCTAGAACCCCATGGCTTGTCCACACTGGGTTTGGGTGTGGCTTAATCAGATACTTAGTGTCATCCCTGGGCAGTCAGTGCAGCACAAGCACAAAGACCCCGAGGACTCAAGCCCCTGCCCTTAGACCACTTCTAGCCCCCACCCTCTTTCCCTCAAAGAAAGAAGCCAGGCAAGAGAGCAGAGGCCCAGGGCAGGGTAGTGAAGGGGCCAATTTAATGAGAAACTACAAACTGAGACCAGCCATGATTCACAGTGACAGGAGGCCATGCAGTGGCAGTGCGAGACCAGGAGAGGGGCGGCAGCAGGATACAGCGGTCCACGTGAGCAAGTTCACAGACAAACCATTCACGAAATACAGTGTGGGCTCAGGCCCAGGGCACGTGTCCAGCAGGGCACTTCCGCCACTTGGGGCTGCTCCTTCCTTGTCCCCGGCCTGTCCCAGTCCAGTGCCACAGCTGCTCCTGCTGCAGTACCTGCTGTTGAAACAAGCACAGTGACAGCAAGTCAGCCAGGGCCCAGGGCCCAGCGCTTACTGAGAAAAGGATCCATGGAGCGTGCATGACATCTCAGTGTGCTTGCAAGGAGGCCCCTTCTCTGTCATCTCCAGTCCTAGTTGGGACACACCAGCCACTGGGCAAAGGTCTTGCCGATACATAGCAAGGATATGGTATGGACAGATGGGTTAGGCTCCTGGGCATTCCTTCTGGCCCTAGCAAAGACGGGGGTTGTAGAGGGGTGGCCAGAAAGGGAGCTGGGTGGGGGCCAGAGGCAAGTCCCTTCTTAGCAAGCCAGGGCCTAACCACTCATCCCACGACTTGCAGATGTGCTGGCCTCTCTCCCTTACTCCAGGGGACTCCTGGGCACTTGGACAGAGTGTTAAGAGTTTGAGAGTTCAAAGACCAGAGTCATCCTTCTAATCATTGTGTCCACCTCTAGCACCCCAGGAACAAAGCCACCAGGCCTTAGGACTCTGTCCTGCTTGGGTCCACTCCCCCACTCTTGGCCCAGGAGACAGAAATAACTGGCTATAGGTAGAGCCCCACTGCAGGCCCCAGGTCTCCTCTGGCTGCTTTTGGTCCCAGGGAGAGTTAGGACCAAATCTATACTTTGTACAGAAATGGAGGAACGAGACCCCAGCAGGGAGACCATGCGAGGAGACCCTTCACAGCTTCTCTTCCTGATCACAAACACCAACCAAACCAGCAACACACAGGCTCAGTGCTATTCCCCTGCCACTTGCGGACCCTTGGCCTTAAATCCAACAGAATTTTTGCCGCAAAGAGTCAGATGCTCAGGGAAGGGCAAGCCAAAGAGGACAAGACTTCCAGGGGACTGGTGGAATGGCTTCCACCCCCAAGTGGGAGCAGGGAAGCGAGCCACTGAGCGAGGGGAGCAAAAGCACAGGGGGCCAGACTGACAGCAGGGAGTCCAGTCCCGGCTCCGTTAGCACAGGCGCTTGTACGTGTAGATGTAGGCTTTGCAGCTGGGGCATGTGTGCGTCACATCCTTGAAGTCGTTGATGAGGCAAGGGATCAAGCAGCAGCCCAGATCACACCTGAATCAGAGACCGGGAAGATAGGGAGGTCAGAAGAGAAGGCACGGAGGACATGCAGGCCTACTCCAGCTCGGCGGCAGGTGGGCACAGCCCCCACCCCCCAAGCGCCCACATCACCTACCCCATGAAGCAGCAGAAGAAGCCCAGCACGAAGTTCATCAGGCCAATCTCATAGGAAATCTTGGTGGTGATGGCCTGCTGGCAGTGGGGACACACTGTCTGTACAGGGGCGCCCTCGAAGATCTCTCCCTGCAGTACTGTCACTGTGGTGGCAGCCCCTGAAGGAACTAGGACTGTGGCAGTGTGGCCCCCAGGGCCAGCATAGGGCCCTGGAGGGTAAGGCCCTGGTGGATAGTAGCCCATGGGTGGGTGGGGGCCTGGAGGAGGGTAGAAACCTGGAATGGCACAGAAGACAGAGTAAAGACAGGTTACTGGCTTGCCACCTGCCCCATGTGGCCCCTAGGATACAAGGGGAGGCCTCTAGGACCGGGTCCTGGGCCAAGGTGACCATCTACATTCTCCCTGCCCTGTGAGACCAAGACAGAGAAGCTACTTGGCCCAGCCAGACATGGCAGAGCCAGGAAGAAGGCCTAATCTCTCCTCAGTCTCAACTTGATGTATTTGCTCCTTGCCTCTGACACGCAGGGGACCTCAACCACAGGAGGGAGAGCCTTGCCACTCACCAGCCCAGCTCCTCTTATGCACAGGGCTCTTGGGCCCACCAGCGTCAGATCCCACACTGAAATACTAGGGACTGGCCCACCTCACCTGGGCCACCTATGCAAGAGCCCTGGGCCTTTCTTTGGCCTGAGGAATCCTCAAGAACTGCTGGCTAAGCAGGAGCCCAGGCCTCCCCATGGATTCAGGACCCTGGCAGGGAGAGGCCCCCACAGCACCCACGAGTCAGCACCTGCCACTGTGCCTGAAGGGCCTTCCCAGGAGCTAGCCCTCCTCCCAGCAGGGCCCAGGGCTCATGTGGCTTGCCCACAGTACCTGCACAGCAGTGCTCTGCTTTAGGACACCTTCCCATGTCCTCCATCCACACCCACAATCAACGCCCCAGCCCTGAGAACACACTGGGCAGGAGGACCACCTACCTGCAGCAAAGGCTGGACGGCAGCCCAGATAACATGCTGGATGCTGTACTGGGCAGACCCCTGTGCTCCCCTTTCCTACTTACCTGGAGGCATGTAGGTGCCATCTGCATTCACATGTGGGGGGATGAAGCCAGGCTGAGGCATTGGGTGACCCGGTGGCTCATAGGGTGGGGGACCAATGTCTGCAGGGGGCATCGACATGCCCGGAGGGGGCTGCATCACAGCTGGGGAGGTACGGCCTGGACAGAGAAGGGCAAAGAGAGGGAGCTCAGAGGGCAGTGGCTGCAGAGTCACTGGGAGGGCTGCTCCAGGCACCAGCTCCTAGGAGCAGGGATGGGCAAGGCACAAGGGACAGGACCAACAGAACACTGAACCCTACCTGGGGTAGGTGGGGCTCCACTCTTCTCCTCCAGAAGGGGGGCTGTGGGACCTCCAGGATAAGGAGGGGGTGGCTCGTTGGACATCTTTGCTGCTTCTGGACCTGGAAGGAAAGCCGCGACATGAACTAAGCTCCCAGCCCCTGCATGCTGGTCAGGCATGGGTCTGTGACAGTTCTCTGAGCCCCAGCAGCTCAGGTGGCCTTTTACTCCTCCACGTCAATCTCTGCGCTCTGGGTGGGGACAGGGCTCGTGGACTGGGACGGATTCCTTCAGTAGAGCGGTTTACAGTCACCGGGCTCCCTCTAGGCCTTGGAGATATCCCACCATCACCAAGGATAATCAGGCCCAGAGCCGCCACCATCCACCATCATCCCCGGTTCCTGTGTCAAAGCCAGAAGGCAAGGGTGCCCTGTGAGGAAAGAAGCTAGTAAGGCAGACCCTTCCCCCAGGGCAGGAGGCTGCCTTGGTGCCAGAGCACTATGCTTGTGGGAGAGGATCTCGGAGACTTGTTACCTCAAATCCCAAGTACTCAGAAGGGGAAGACAGGACAGGCTCCTTCCACTGGCGGCCTGAGCAGACACGCAGGGCTCTAGGGAGCTGTTCTGGGGGGAGAACAACAGGCAGAGCCTCAGCACTAGGGCGAGAGGTGTAGCCAACACACCCCACCCCATCTGGCTGGTTCCCACCGGCATAGCAGCAAACCGCCTGCCCACCAACTCCTGAGCTCCGCTTCCCCTCTCACGGCTGCAGGTCCTGTCCGCTCCAGGCTCACACCAGCCCCCACAGACCCGCACCTACGGCAGGAAGGAAGGAGAACAGGCTTCTCCCCACCCCAGCAGCTCTAGAGCCAGCTGTGCACGCAGGGCCCCTGCCCCGTTTTTTGTGGAGGACAGGGTGGGAAGGAAGACGCGGAGTGAAACACTTCCCTCATCTCTTTCCCTCCCAAGGTTCACTGAGCACCTGCTGCTGGGCCCTGGGGGAGAGGCAGGAAACCAGGGGGCCTTCCTGCCTTGGGTCAGCATCCTCTCTCCCTTAGTAAGGCACTTCCTTTCACTATTCAGCATAGAAGGTTTGAAATTAGTAGCATTTTGAAGTGAAGCTCAGTTAATTTTTTTAGCTGGAAATAATATGAATCAAAAAATTCTCAACAGTACAAAGAGACACACAGTGAAAGCAGCTCTCCTAGGGCAGCTCCATCCAAGAGCCCCGCTAGAGGAAGTTCAGAATGCCACCGGAGCAGAAGGAGCCTGGAGTCAGTTATGTTTATTAAATGTCACAGATCAGATCAGTGGCAGGGCCCAAGAGATCAAGTCCAAGCAACTAAAGAAAAAAACTGGATGTCAGTAAAATTAAAAACTTGGACTTCGTGGCGCAGTTGTTTAGGCAGCTGCCTTCAGCTCAGGTTGTGATCCCAGGATCCTGGAATGGAGGCCCACATCGGGCTCTGTGCTCAGTGGGGAGTCTGCTTCCTCTCCCTCTGCCCCTGCTCTGCTCTTGCTCACTCACGCTCAAATAAATAAAATCTTTAAAACAACAACAAAAACTTGGGCTTCAACAAGCACCATCAAGAAAGTGGAGACAGTTCCCAGAATGGCAGAAAAGTTTTACAGATCCATCTGCTAAAAGACTTGTATTTAAAATATATGAAGAACTCTAACTCATTAACAAAGACAACCCAATTAAAAAATGGCAAAAGATCTGTATACATCTTTCTCCAAAGATAAAAAAAAAAAGCCCAATAAGCACCTGAAAAGAAACTGAACACTTAGCCTAGAGGAAATGCAAATCAAAACTACAATAAGGTACCATTTCATATCCATGAGAATGGCTACAGTGAGAAAGTAACAAGTATTATGCAGAGACAGGAGACACAGGAGTTCTCCCACTGCTGGGGGCAGGTGGGGGTGTGTGAAATGGCCAGCAGCTGTCCCTGTGCTAACACAGTTACCACATGACGCAGTTCCACTTCTAGGTGCGCACCCAAGAGAACTGAAAACCACACAAGAATTTGTACATGAATGTTCACAGCATCATTATTCATAGTAGCCAAAAAGTGTAAACAACTGAGGTGTCCAACCACTGGCAAGTGGATAAACTGTAGTGTACGCCTCCAGTGGAAACATACCCAGCCATGATCAGGAATGAGCCTGCTACAGCCTGGATGAACCTGGAAAACAGGCCAGTCAGAGAGACCAGACAAGAAAGCTTACATGTGGTGTGCTCCTTACGTGAGGCGCCCAGAACAGACTAATCGAGACAGAAAGCATACTCGTGGTTGTCATGGGCTTGTGGGGGTGGGGGCAGACAGAGAATGATGAATACGGGGTTTCCTTTTGGGGTGATGAAAATGTGCCAAAACTGGCTGTAATGATGGTTATACAATTCTGTGACTATATGAAAAACCAGTGAATTGCACACTTTAAATGGGGAAATCATACGGTAGGTGGATTATTATATGTCAGTAAAACTTACTAAAAAACAAAATAAAATTGCTCAATCTCACCACCTTAATGCAGCTAGTCTCCCTGCATGCCCCTGCCCGTCTGTATGCAGTCACGTATATTTTTATATACTTGCTGTTGTGACAGTTTTAACATCATGTCCTATATATTTTGTCCATCTTGCAAGACCCCATGACCATCAATTTTAATATTCCCTAAAATGGGCTCATCACTGTTTACCTGACCAACCCTTATTAAGGCATTTAGAATGCTTGTTACTTTAAAAAAAAAAAAAAAACACCACCACCACCACCAACAGGGAAAACCTCTGGCTAATGCTCTTTCCCTTTCTTGGATCATTTTCTTTGGTTAAACTTGCCAGAAATGAAATTATTAGGTCAGAGGGTATGGCCATTTTGTGCCTTTGAGAAGGATGATGGCGATTTATAGTACACACTTTGGATACTACTGTTATCATTAATTTGTAATGTTAAAATGACAGTCGGTATTTATTTCTTTGACCACCAAGAAGCAGAACATGTCACAAGTGCTTGTATATATTATGACCTTCTCTTCTGAGTTGCTACTTATAATAATCCTTCAAAGACATGAAAGCCAAGAAAAAATGGGACTTACCCAGGTCACGTGGCATGTAAGAGAAAGAGAGCTGAGTGTAGGACTCTGCATGACTCTCCCACCCACCCCTGCCTGCAGGTGAATTTCAATAGCGCACGATGAAGGGAAGCTATAGAGCCTCTAAAGGACATCACACAAAATCCCCTTCCAGGCAGGACTGGCTGTGTGTGCTGGGACCGGAGATCCTTGCCAGCCCACCAGGCACCCTCCTGATGGCAGAGAAAGAGGCTTGTCGTGCTTCCGAGGAAAACTTTGTATCCTGCCGAGTGTCTTAGAATATGGGCCAGCACCTGTCACGGACTCCTATCCTACCAGCATGTGGGATGCCACAGGTGGTACCACTGTCTATCTCAGCCCCAGCTCACCAGGAATCCCGCCAGGAAGAAAAGGTGCACTGTGTTTGGTGAGTCACTGGAGCATTTTCCGGTGCTAGGAAAGAGGAACTAGCCTGGGTCCTCCCGGCTCCTCCGTGTCCAGAGGGCACATATCACTTGCACCACCCTCTGAGGATGCAAGCATGGCTTGCCTTTTCATCAACACATCTAGTTCCAGTTTCCTAGAGCACAAGATTCTACTTCTGGAATTCTGCCATCATAATGATGGTACAAGCCTGGCACACAGGGCAAAGCCCTTTGATGGTATCTACCCAACTGAGCCATCCTCTGTACCTAGAGCAGGCACTGATGTGTGCCACATGGACGCCAGCCACTGACTGGGCCACCACCTGCTTCCACAGCTTCCCTCGGCCAGCACACCTGTTGCTTCTCTGTCTCCCCTCCCCTCCACACCCATCCTCCAGCTGCCTTCTGGAGCTGTCAACTGTGGCAGAGACGGGGCAGGACACTTCAGTATGAAGGGGAGAGGTTGGGGCACCTGAGTGGCTCAGTCAGTTGGGCGTCTGCCTTCAGGTCAGGTCATGATCCCAGGGTCCTGGGATCAAGCTCCATGTCGGGCTTCCTGCTCAGTGGGGGTGCCTACTTCTCCCTCTGCCTCCCCGCCCCCCCAGGTTATGCTCTCTCAAATAAATAAAATCTTAGGAAAAAAAATGAAGGAGAGAGGTTTCTGAAGAATGAATCGTGAACTTTTCTGGAATTCAACCCCTAGTTCCCCAAGTGCCTCCCAATATAAAACCAAGGGGCGTGCCATAAAACTATGTTGTCTAAGGTGCAATAAAAACTAAGAATGCTATGATCTTTTTTTTTTTTAAAGAGTTTATTTATTTAATTGACAGAGAGAGACAGAAAGAGAGGGAACACAAGCAGGGGGAGTGGGAGAGGGAGAAGCAGGCTTCCCGCTGAGCAGGAAGCCCGATGCAGGGCTCGATCCCGGGACCCTGGGATCATGACCTGAGCCGAAGGCAGTCGCTTAACCAACTGAGCCACCCAGGCGCCCCTGCTATGATCTTTAAAAAGAAAAATCAGGGCGCCTGCGTGGCTCAGTTGCTTAAGCGTCTGCCTTCGGCTCAGGTCATGATCCCAGGGTCCCGGGATCGAGCCCCACGTTGGGCTCCCTGCTCAGCGGCGAGCCTGCTTCCCCTCTCCCTCTGCCTGCCGCTCCCCTGCTTGTGTTCTCTCTCTGTCAAATAAATAAAACCTTAAAAAAAAAAATATCACATGTCAGGGCACCTGGGTGGCTCACTTGGGGCACGCAGGCGCCCCAAGAAGGAAGATTCTTACATGAAGTTCTCCTGTCACAGTGGAACAGTGCAGGTATGTGGGTCAGACGCTCATCCCATGCAGGCTGCAAGGGCAGTGTATTCCGGGGACATGGATCTTCTCCACGCCTCTCAGGACTGCAGAAGTCCAAGAGATGGTACTGAGTATGCACCTAGAGAAGCACTAATCCTGACACCCCTGGGGTGCTTGCTACGGGTGTTCAACTGTCCTCCTCAGCCCTTACGGGGCAGCCCTGCTAACATCTTCACTTTAGAGAAGGTGAACACAGCTCATGTCACACCCAAGGTCACATGGCCTCACAATAGCATTTTAGGTGTTTTCAACGATTTCTCTTTGAGCTTTTAAATTCCTGCTTACCAGTTTTTCAGCACAGTTTTGGGGATGCTGAGGAATTTCCCACTTAGTCCTGGATAAAAGTGACATGCCACTGCCCCAGTCCCAATGGCTCCTACTTTGGAAGCCACTGGCCCTTGGGAGACAGCTGCTTTCCAGAGGCTGGAAGTCTATTTGAAACTAATCAGTATCTGGAAATGCGTGAAGAGTGGAGGTTACTAGATGGCACCCGGGCACAGGAGCCTCAGGGGTCAAATTGACAGAGGAGATCAATGTCCCCTGGACTGCATTTTCAGGATGAAGGCGAGCCTGCCAGTAATGGTCCTGACCCTTGCCAGGGCAGGGAGGCAGCATGGGCCAGGTGGCTGATGAGTTAGAAGGCTCAAGACACTTGAGAAGGTGCTGTGGCCTCCAACAGATACCCTGTGCCTGCAGCCTCTCCATGCTGTTACCACAGGC